GGGGGGGGGGAAGAAGCTGTTGTATCTATTTGAGAGCAGACCAACATTATACATACAAATTCAGAAGTCAAAAAGTTAATCCCATGCTCCTAAGAGGCCAAAGGAATAAAAATACAATTAATATTTTTCTAAGTACTGTACAATATGAAACATGTTTATTCTAGAATATTTTAGAAAACATCCCTTTCACCATAAATATTTCCAATACCTTTCCAAAGGAAGTCATATTCATCCCAAATAACTTTGGATATTATCCTGCAATAAAATTATAAGTAACAGAGAAAAATTCCTTTTTTCATCATCCACCAAGAAGATCTCTTTCACTACTACCGTTTTCCAACAGGCATGTTCCACTGAATAAACTGTGTTTTGTATTATCTCTCTCATATGTAATAGCCAATTTTTCCAGGATGATGTTCTTATTTTCAACCCTTCTTTCTTGCTTTTTAGAACTCTGTATGTCATCTTACTTTCCTTTCTTATTAGCATTCACAGACTCATTTAATTCAGCAGTCAGTTATGCTCGTTACTTCTCAAGAACTCTGTTGGCATGTATATGATTTTCACCAGGTCCCTTCTCAAAAAGTTCATATGCAATCAAGATGTATGCATTCACTTGTCCAACCTTCCACGTAGACAAACTTTATTTGTATGGGAAATAAAGTATTTTTACAAATCTTTTTGTATGTATCTTCCAGCTAAAAGAGGACACGGTTAAAGAACTAATTAGAAGACTGAATTAAATACTTGCTTCCTGAGGTAGCACTTTGAGTTTTCACATTTTCCAAGTACTTGGAATCACAAGTCATGCTTAGAAACTGCTGCTTCAGCCATGTTCCTCTATCTTCTTCAAAGGCCTGCCTCTAAAAAAGGAATACCAATATATTTTGTACAGACAGTAGTTTGTTTATACTGATTAACATACTTTGCATCTACAACCATGAAGGGCAATTCATTCGTAGTCAAGGGGAACAGGCTACTTAACACAGAACTACAGATGGCAGAGCCTGACAAGGGTTATTTTCAAGGGTGGTTTGTTTCACAAAGGTCTGCCTAAAAAAAATCATTTAAAATATATCTTTGCTCTACTTTTGTCTCGTTTAGTGGCACATGACCTCTTTCCACTGCCTCCTGGACTTGCGTGGGTGTGACATTACCAGCTATATGGTACTCTCACTTTCCACGGACCTGCCAAGAAGGACCACTGCTTATCCCTCAATCCCAAATGCCTTCTGGAATGGGAAATAAGAACTAGAAAGTACTTGCGACTACTCCCACCCAAATCTAGAATGAAGGAAGAACAGGAAGGATTTCTTCCTTAACAAGAAGAGAAGTGATGCTGATGCCAGACAGCCTACAAAGATCCAGGTGGCTGTGATACAGAGAGAGCTACACTACCTCTGAAAGTGGCAGATAAACCAGAAGTACCATGGGAGGAGAAAGGATACAAAAATAAATTTTCCCACTATCCAAAATTCTTCCTCCTAGGCGCACTGGAGGAACAGGAAAACTGAACTCCAAGCACAAGAGATGTTACAATTTTTTGAAAAACCACAGTATAGATACTGTCAAAGTACAAAAAGGAGAAATAGAAACAAATTGATGCACAGAGGATTACAGTTATACAAAGGTATTTCAGAAACTAAGGGCAATTTAGGAATAAGACCATTATGTTGTGCAATGATCACTTACTGGACTACACTACTTCTCTACGTCATAAACGATGGGTGCATTCAACAATGCTGCCAGAGTTCCCCAGCACTGTATAATTTCCCACTTTGTTGCAGACATACAGCGTAGGCAGCCCTTTCATTATTAACTTCTAAATTAATAAACTTTAGAGCTTAGTTAATTCTGGTCAATCAGTACTGAACCTGTAATTCATCTTACTGAAAAATATGCAGATTATTAAAAAAATATTTTTCAAAGTAAAGTGAAAGTTTAGAGAACATTTTACTGGACTGAAATAGTCATAAAATGTGAATCAATGCTACTGATAGGCATCTATACACATGCTCCAGGATGAAAGGGGGGGTGTCACATGTATTCAGTATCCCATGCTTCAAAATGGCAGTGGGAACATTTTAACTAAAGGCTTATACGACAAGCTTTAGTTAAGCCACCCCGACCGCCATTTTGAAATGCAGGGATGCTGAATACACGTGATGCAGAGACAGCTGGAGCATGCTAATTAGCACAATTAACCAAGTCTGCTCTGATGTGTGCTAATTAACACGTGTTGGAACAGAGTTCTGTCACGTGTATAAGTGCCCCATGTTCATTTATTATTTTGTATTAGTTTTCTTCATTTTTCACTTTTTATTTATTCTAAAAAGTCATTTAACAAATGTGAGCTGTGGTGCTCAACACAGATCATCAACTCGCAGGCTTGAGCATCCCAAAAGTTGTGTGTCCTGCAGCCCTCAGCACTGTCAAAATTGCTTTGTGGCCACTGTTGATCCCAGGACAAAAAAAGTGGCTGCCTAATTTTAGGCTACTCTTGCCACTATCTAAGTACCCAAATATGTGACTTTATTATCACAAGACACCCTGATTTTTCCAAACCTGGGTCTATGCTTATAGAAGACACGTACAAAGTAATAATCCCAGTTCAAGCAACTGTGTTTTCCAAAGTCTATTTGCAAAACATAATACAGCAGAACCCAGATTTTTTGGGGGATACTTTGCAGGTGCCGAAGCAAAAATGAACAGCTCAGCTGTTTGTTGAAGCTTTTACTTTGAAGGGTACTACTTCTCTGATAAGCTGCAGCACTGTCACAGTCACACTGGAGAAGCAATGCTATTCGAAACAAAAGCTGCAGAACACAGCTGACATACCTTCACAGTCCTCAGCAGCTCTTTACTGTGCCTATATAGCTCCCAATTAGCTTACAAACACTCATCTGCAGTGGAGTTCAGAACCTAACCCTACCAACAAGCTGGAGTTCTACTGTAATCTCAAACAGGCAAAAAATTAATCTATCATAGTGGCCTTCCATGTATTACAAGAAAAAAGCAAAAGAGAAAGAGACCTTTCTATAGAAAGACAAACAGCAAACTCATAACACCACACACAAAATGCGTATTTCCAACACTATCTAGATTAAATTGCTTACAAGTCTTACTAATTGTCAGCCTTAAATATCCTATTAAGATCCCTCTCTTCTGAATACCTCAAGTCCTAGTCTAATTGCAGCTTCTGTAAAACTTCTTCGCTCTTTCTCAAAGTTCTTTTTTTGTTCTCTAAATAGTTTCCATTCTTCCTGGAGACGTTCCCTTTCTTCCAACAAATAACAGTCCTGTAGTAACACAGTGGTATCATCATCACATGGAGACATAAGCTGTTGCTGCAGAAATAAGGAGCAAGAAGCAAATATTTTTAGAAATCACCATTCAGACTTTGCAATATTTCCACAAATTCAGGATTTAGAAACTAACAAAAGTTTATTTCAGCCAATATAAAACAGGGTTGTTCACTCACAGATGTTCTCAGTTCATAAACACTGAAAAAATTTTAATAGCCTATTCAGAACATTGTGGAAGGTAAGTGAGGGTTGCTCACTCGATAGGGCACTAAACTTCTTTATTTGCCTTCTTTAAGTTCTCCTTTCACCATGCGTAACTGGTGCCTCCTGACTGGACAGTCAGGCCAGGGCACTTCCAGGTCGGCGGGATCAGCTGCGGGCTGATGGCTTCTCTTGGAGCACTCCCCGGCCGGCGCTCTCAGGGGGGGCACCAGCGCTCCTGCCTGCCCAGGAATGCTGGCTGACAGGGGGTGCACCAATGCTCTCAGAGGGTGCATGTGCACCCCTGTGCACCCCTATGCATTGCTACTGCCTTTCACATTGCATAGTTCCACAAAAAAGACTGCTCTCAGGCAATAATCATACCCATCACCCTGCATCGCCATCTAAATGTATAAAAAAGGAATATCTCAATGAAAGGAAGAGCAGTCAAAAGTGGTTAGAAAGATCCATAAAGTCAGATTTGAATTCATACTTTGGAAAAGAAAAAAAAGAAAGTACAGCTAAAAGACTCCTACCTGCAAGAGCTGTTGCTGAGTTTTAATCATTTCTTTGCAATGCTGGATTTCCAACTCTAACTTCTCAGTTTCCAATTCATGGTCCTCTCTTGAGATTACATCTTTGTCAGTCAGAGCACCTGAATGCACACGTGACACTAAAAAACAAAACAAACAAACAACAAAAAAAACCCCAATTACTGATACCATATTTCAGTAAGATTGCAATTTGAGATGCGCACACATACACACACCCATTTACAATATGCATGCAAAAAGGGCATTTAAAAATGTAATTGCCTTACTTGAGCACCTGGAAAAAACACAACTTGGATTACAGGGAATTTTGAAGTTCAAGCAGAGACGGATATAAGCTTACACCTCTAAACAGCAGCCCGGCCCAAAATAAAATTTGGTAGTTTTTTTAACTATATGGAAAGTATCAAATTGCCCCTTTACATTCTCTGAAGCAAAAAGTATACTCCTGAAAAATAAAGTAATGCGTTTTGCAGACAATCCTATTAAACAGACTCACACAAACTGGTTTAAACTATCCAAAATAAACAGAGACAATATTTGAAATCATAATATTAGTAAGCAATTTAAAGATAACTTAGAGAAAACAGTAATGAACAAAACTAAAATTTAAATATTAAGAGAACCAAACACTTGGATAAAACAAAACAGGAATAGGATTAAGAAGAAAACCAAACGTAGTTACAAATACAAGATGCAACAGTTTCTTTATTAAACTCGTAACTTTTGGGTTACCTACCTACACTTTGCATATAGATGTCATCCTTGGGGGGCACATAGATAAACATGCTATTGAACTGTTATTTTTGTTTCAAGACAAACTTTTATGCTAAGTATTTAGAAGTACTTTACACTTCAATAGCAGCCTTTATTGCCAAGAGCAAAAATGGACTCCCTTGTGCTGCTAATCTAGTCTCCCCAAGGAAGGTTCAGCATTTGCATGAAAATAGTATGTGACCTGCTGAAGTCCATGTACAGACATTCAGTTTCTACCAGATGTGTACAGACATTCCATCTTTTTCTCATGTAATAAAAGTGGCAGTTCTGGGAAAAACATAGCCTGACTACAAGTCTGGGAGAGTTTCTCCTGGAAGAATGAATGTTTGCACACTTTCCTGTGGCTTAAGTCCTTCCAGGAAGAATGGAGCTGCAGCAAAAGAACCGCATACTTTTCCAACCCAACTTCTGTATGGAGAAGCTGCAAGGAGGCAACTGCTTCTGCCTCCTCCAGGAGACTGTGAGGGCAGGGAAGAGCAGCCACCATCTGCTCCCAGCTGTTTCCCAAACTGGCTTAGGAAAGGGGTTAGGGAGATTGATCTCACAGATCCACTCCCCTCCCCTCCCATGTGGTCTGGGAGGGGAGGAGAGCAGCTGCTGTTTCTTCCTACACCTTCCCCCATGCAAGCATTTCCTTGTACGGGGAAAGGGCTGGGGGCTTTGCCCCAGTGCTGCCTCTGCTCTTCTTCCAGAAACCAGGAGCAGGGTGGAAGTGCCCCTGTTCATTACTCAAACTCCTATCTACGGAAGATGCGGGGAGTCTTTTACCCAATGCTCCACTCCCCCCAGGGACCAGAAGGAGTGTAGCAGGCACTGGTTCCCACACCTTCCTCAGAATGGGATCAGCCCAGTTTTGGGAAGATGCAGAAAACAGGGGAGAAGGGGGTGGCCACAGGCTGAAAGCCTGTACACTCCCCCTCCCTCGCCCAGAAAGACTTCTACCAGTACAAGTGAACATCTGTTCATGGCCAAGTTTCTATGGCACCAGCCATTTCAACTTCAGAGTATATCAGAGCTCTGATATACTTACTAGAATGTGCTAGTATAAGCTTCTTTAATCATAATTTAGGGTAGCAGGCATTTTAGCTATATTAAAACAAACTGTGAGATCCCTAGAGGTTCATGCTGCATATATAGTAAAAAGCCATAAGTCAAGCAAATGTAAATAAATAAATAAATAAATGAAATGTGTGAATTTTGACCCAAAATATCAATAGAACTGCCTCCTGTGTAGTAACCACATACTAGATTCTCTAAGGGTTCAAGAATCATGCCAAAAAAAAAGAAGGTACCCAACTCCCCCCTCAAAAAACATTTTTGGAAACAAGTAAGTAGAAGAATTAAAATATCACTGTATTCACTGAAACATTAAGCATTTCTGCTATCATGCTTAATTGAAACATCTCAAAAGAAAAAAATTGTGAGATTCAAAGCTTAAAGTATTATCAAAGCAAAAGCAGCATTTTAATTTATAAAAATGGGACCTTTTCGTCTCATGGCATTAAATGAACCCAGATCATAATTCAAAGAATCTGATGCCCCAACACTGGATCAGAAAATAATCTAGCTTCTACAATCATGTAAATGGAATAAGAAAAATGGAAACTCCTTTTAACTGAAATACTAGTCACAGCTCTTTAGAATTTTAAAAGAATTGATTCAGTTATACGAAGTAGGGATAATTATAATGCAGGTCTATTTTTAATGGAAAAAGAAAAGGCCTTATATATCCCATGAGTTTTACAAAGAGAAAACACTAAATACATACAATATAACAGTTTTGACTTTATGTACAATTTTTTGGCCCAAGATAGGTATGGGTTAAAGAAAGATTTTCTATTTTCAAGAAGTTCTGCCTTACAGATAGAGTATTTTGTACTGTTACATGCCGTGTTTAACTTTAGCATATAGACAAAAACAGCAACTTTATATGTGGGTGACTGTACTCCAGGAAAATATAGATTCCAATCAAGTCAATGGCAGAATTCCTCTCAGTTTCAATGCGACCCAAATTCATCCGTGTTCACTTGCACAACTAAAAAGAAAGTGACCACAGAAAAAATACTGTACATACAAACTTCAATTTTTGCTACTTAGGGCTGTTAATCACCCAGTTTAACATCTTGCCCCAAAATTACTAATATGTATTCTTCAGAGCTAAGGCTCTTAAACTTTTTCACAATATAGACATTTTAATAAAGCCATTTTTTTCCTTATTGAATCATCTGCCATCCAATTCGCAGTTGCATGGGTGACCTTCCATTCCATTCATGATTGCTAAATATCCTTATGGTAGCCAAAGCATTTGCTTACATGGAAAAGTAATACTAGGAAAGAATTTCATGTATTTTTAGCAGCTGGAAATAATGAGCCAGCACCATGCCACCAATGCCATCAAGAGACAGAGAATTATGGAAATGCCAACCCCAAACTCTGGAAGTGTTTTAGATGCTTTGCATACTCAATTGTTTCAAGTTGTATTTTTACAACGCTAACAACTCAAAGGCTGTGCCCATACCACATTCTTAGTGAAATCCAGGACTCATGTCAAGAAGAGTTCTGCCCACTCACTGCTTTTCCATACACAAGCAAGACTAATAATTAAGCAGCATAGATAGTTTTGATGGGTCCTCATCACTCTCCACAACAGTACTCTGCCTTGCCAAAACCTGACAGCAGAGCATGGGCATGTGCTCAGAAACCCTCAAAACCATCTACACTATCCAACTGCTGGGCTTGTACAAGCGTAGCAGGTATGAATAGTTGGGGCTTGTTTCTTGGCAACAGTCCTGGATTCAGCAGAGAGGTGACACAGAGCTGGGCTGAAAGACTGCAAAAAAGCATATTTTTAACCCAGATTATCTTTCTGCTGAAAACAAATAAAAAAAATTTCTTCTTTCAACAACATTATTTCCCAAAAATGGGATAGAAATGTCCCCCCCCGGTCTCCAAGAATTATAGTTTTGTTACACAAGTGTATCCTAATCCATCTCCAACTGAACATATAATACTGCAGTTGCAGAGCATTTCAGGCAATATTCTGTACCATAGTTTCTGTGTTCATTTATCTTCTTTCTAGCTGCAGTTTTGTCACATCAAACTGGGCAACAACTAGATGCTTTGAAAATACATTTGCCAGAAGCATAAAGGATTATAATATTAAACACAGATTTACAATGACCCTCACACCTTGGTTATCCAATTTTTCAACATGATTTTTCAGCATTCTCCACTGGTTTCTAATGCTGTTGGTCAGTTGCTCTCGCACAGTTTCACAGGAGAGTTCCCACATGTTCTCTTTATTTAATTCCCCAACATCATCTTCTAGATCTGACAGCACCTGTAAAAATAAAAACAAGCGTGTTGCAAACCATCCTTCTCATTTATTTTGAAACTTTTCTAATAGTTTAATTAGCCATGAGGGAAAAATCCCACATGAGGAACAGGATATCTTCAGTTTTCATGCACAAACACTGGTCTCCCTCAATGTATGTATTTAAGAAGTTCTGGAGGGCACATTTTCCATGTTATTTCTTAGGGGCCCTCATCCTTCATGGGCAGAATAAAACTCTCTCTCTCACAACCTGAAGTAGTGTTTTAAGTTTCTGAGGAGTTCTGCTAACTTTTCCCAACATACCGATTCAGGAAGTAGGGAGCTCAATATAAAGCATAGGATCCAACTTCAAAAACATAGGGATAATGTTTGTATATCTTATCTATAGATTTCTCATCTAGGAAGAGACAGGATGAGAATTATCCTGTGAAAAAGTAGGTAACTAGCCCTGCCTCTTCCTTCTCATCCATGGTACATCTGTGAGGAAAGAGGCCAAAAAGAAGTGGTAAAGGACAGAACCATTCAATGAAACCAGAACACTGTCCCATCCCATTCCCTTTTTTAGTTCTGACCCACTCAGCACAAATCTTCTATCTTTAGAAGTAAAAGAGAAGGACAGAATACACACAAAAAATAGACAAGCTCCAAACAGGGAAAAAACAGTATGTAGTGACATTTATGCCTTCAAATTTAATTTGTTCTCATCCTGCAAAAGTTAGTTCAGTATTTTACTCCATTCCATAAAGGAACCCTTTCTTATGTATATAGAGCCTAACACAAGGAGGGCCTGATCCTGCTGA